GTTTGGTAGAAAACTGTCAAAGGTTTTGAGAACCTTCACCCATTACTTGGTTCAGCTGCGTAGAGCAACCACAACTGAAATAAGCAAGCTACGAGTACACGAACAAGGCCACCTCCTTCATAAATACAGCCCAGACTTGAAAAGCTTTAATGACTTTCACTCGGTTTGGGAAATTTGATGAATGACAGTACAAATCTGTTTGGATATGTGCATCAACAGTGGTTTAACTTAGTGGTGGTTGAAGGATCCCGTATCGTGGTTGCAAACCTGTTTTGTAGCCCTCAAAATATTATCTTGACTTCTACAATGTTACATTTCCCTTACATGGTGCATGACTCTAAATGGAAAGTTTGCAGATGGAGAAGTCTGTTCTCAGAGCAAATAATGAAGCTGCCAAGGAGAATTTGCTGCAAGCTCTCTACATAATATGAGGCGACAGGTACAGGTACGTACTACGTGAACTGTGGTTGGGTGGTGTGTTAAAAATTTGAAAATGACCAAGCCCAGTCCAACAACTAGCTTTGACAATATATTCCTCGGTCCCACTACCTCCTGGCTGTCTAGCTCTCGAATACCTCAGGGTGTTTTATCACACCTGCAGAGTTTAGTGCGTTTAAATCGAACTCTGGTTTGTTTTTCCACTTGAAGTGGTTCATTTGTACAGGTGTGAACACAATAACTGCAGTCGGGTACGGACAAAAACAAGCACACCCTTTGGACGAACTCCAGCGCGGTGCGTTTATGGTGTTAATGTGATCCAACTCTGGTCCACAGAAAAACAACCTGGTGTACATTACAAGTGTGAGCTAAAAAAAAATGTCCCTTAGCCATATATGCTTTGTATTCTCAATGCAGTAAGGTCCTATAGATGTGCAAAGGTCTGTACAAGCTAGCGACTAACATAAATTCTCGGTGTTCTCCAATAGTGCAGAACACAGCACGTTCTTCCTGTATTTACTTTTGTTGCTTCTGCCCCAGACACATGGGGCCAGTGAGCAGACGCAACATTCTCACATGGTTTATGATGCAATATTGTCCACTTGGAAAATAAACCAAAGCGTGGCAAAAAGCTACGAGTTAAGCTACTCCTCAACGGAATCGGACCAGAGTAAATGTACTACATGTGTGAAAACACCCTCAGAAATCTGCCAGACACAAGACCTCTGCTACTCTACACTCGCCAGGTATACATGGTTTAAATGTCCGTCAGGGTCTGAGTACAACTTTCACTAACTAACCCCCCACCTAAAAAAACCAACAGTATCAGCAACTTCTTTCAAACAAAAACCAAAAGAAATGAAGGTGAGACCCACATCCTATTGAACTTGGATTTATACTTTTAATGGTAACACTGACATTATTATTAGTATCAATTCAAAATCCAGCGTGGAGATTACAGGCAAAATGATCACATATCTAGCTCGCATCAGAATCAGAATTGTGTTTATTGGCCAAGTATATGTGCAGACACATACAAGGAATTTGGCTCCGGTAGATGGAGGCTCTCAAGCACAGCAATGTAAATCAGACGCACACATAAACACACACACACGTGTCTATATATACATTACACATACATACACAAAGCTGTGTAAACCAACTACAAATAACCAATCTAAACTTATATACATAGAATACAGAAATGAGGTGGAATGAATACTACAGAATGTACATAAGGTCCAGTTGCAGTCTGGCAGTGGGAGCAGTGTGACAGGTCAACTGTTTAGGAGGGAGATGGCGAGGGGAAAGAAACTGTTCCTATGTCGGGTGGTCCTGGTCTGCAGGCTTCTGTACCGTCTGCCAGAGGGCAGCAGATCAAAAAGTCTGTGTCCAGGGTGTGAGGGCTCTGTGATGATTTTCCCTGCCCGTTTCCTGGTTCTTGAGAGGTACAGATCCTGGATGGAGGGACAGGTCTGTAGTCATTCAGTCCTGTGATGGTGGGTTTCTTGGGAACAGGGATGATGGTGGAGCGTTTGAAGCAGGAGGAAACACCCACATCCTCAGTGTGTATACTGAGTTTCAGGGAGGAGGAAAGGGGAGTGAGAGGGGTGGGGGTGTTCGTTGAGACTGGATTGGGGAGGGTGAAGGGGGGAGAGATGGGAGGTGTGTTGGGGGTCAATGTCTGAAGCAATGTCTCTGGGGAGGGGAGGGTGAGGCGTGGGAGTCTGTCCGTCTCAAACCTGCAGTAGAAAGTGTTTAACTCGTTGGCCAGGTCTTTGTTTGCTTCAACAGTGGGTGGGGGGCGTCTGTAGCTGGTGATTTCCTGCGGGCCCCTCCACACTGACGCAGGGTCATTGGTTGAGAGCCGTTCTTCCAGCTTCT